CTCACTACTGGTTTCTATCCGACCAGGATTCCGGTGGTCGATTCTGGAAGGACTGGGGAGGGGGCCGAGTGTGAGGCCGGCTGCTCGCAAAGCTCAGGGGGGCTTGAGGGTCAGGGGGGTGTTGGCGTGGGGTGGGCTTCTTTCGCCCCGCGGTACACAGGGGCAGGGCAGAGCAGGTGGGCACACGGGGATCAAAGCCAATACACTCCCGGGAGCGGGACAGGCGTGAGGCCCGTGAGTCAGACGGGGGTTAGAAGGAAGGGTGAGGGCCACGGCGTCGCAGTCAGGACCTGGGCGTGCAGCGCGCACCCAGGAAGCCAGGGGAGCTCGTGGAGGACCTCTTGGCTCCAGGAGCGCTTTGTGGAGGCCTTGACCAAGCTCACACTTGACGGCTGTCAGCTGCACAGCACAGACGTGCTCGGAGCAGCGAACACCGGGAGGGCCCGCAGAGACCAAGGTGCAGCCCTGTGTGCCCTCTCGGGGTGTAGCCCAGCTGTGCGGCCCCCAGACTCTCAGACGGTCAGGCCGGGCTGAGTAAAGCGAAGGGGACAGACGTGGGCATTAGAGCTGCGGCTGTGAGCCCAGCACAGGCGTGAAGGCGCAGGGCCCTTTGCTGGGGGCCAGGGAAGCTGCCTGGTTGGTGCTGAGGGCTGGAGGCTGCATGGGGGCCGGAGAGAGACCCTCCTGCGCCTGGGTTTCCCCTCTGTCTCTTGTCACCACCTGACACCCGGCATCCACCTAACCTGCCCCCCAGCCACGCTGTGAGCTCAGCCAGCCCGCCCGTCAGCCATCAGGGTGATCCAGCGTGTGAGCACACAGCTCCACAGCCAGAATCCCTGGGTCCAGTTCCAGACTCAACCACGTGCCGGCCACGCGGCCTCGGCCAGGCTGTGGCCTCTCCACACACGTGTGTGGTGCTGGCGCCCGCAGAGCACCGTGACGAGAAGGGCCGTGCAGGGAGCACCCGGGTGGGTAAGGCACTGGTTCTCCCAGCAGGGCTGATTAGGGGCTTTCAGGAGTATTTCGGTGGAAGGGACACTGTCCACTGCTCCCACTGTAGAAGACCTGCCTTTCCTCTGTTCCTCAGAAGGCAGCACCCCCTGCGTTGGGTTATCACCTGCTAAGCCACAGGCCAGGAATTCTGGTGGTCTCTTGGGAATGGTGGGCTCAGGGCCCAGTACGTCCAGACTTATACTGAAACATGACTTCTCCACATTACTCACAGGGGATCTGAGAACTTTTTATTGAATTTGTTCAATAATTCCCAACCCACACCAGACCGAGTTGAAAGGGGCTGGACTGCAGCTCCAGAACCTCTGCAGGCTTCCCAGCATCAACCGTTATCCACAGACTTCAACAGCCCACCTCCGCCCAGGGGCCCGCCCGGGGACCCCAGGGCACAGCCAGGCTAGCAGCTTCCTCTCTGCACCCCGGGTGCTGGCGCGCCCGCAGCTGAAGCCTCGTAGGCCTCCCTGATCCTTCCTCGAGTCGGGGGGAGCAACCTCCTGCCCCAAAGTTGCCCTCCAAGGCAGGTACGGGGTAAAGCCCCTCCTCTGCTTCTGTCCGTGTTGTTTCAGGCTTCTCAGGAACCGCAGAACCTTCCTGAGATCTTTTCTGTCATGTCTCCAATAGTGCATACGGGCACATATGCAAATCAACCCCAGCATCCGCCTTAGAACCTGAAGGTAAATGTGTAAGTCAGAGTTTCTCGGCGGCCTTGGCACTGGCCTTGACATTTAGGCCGGATCGTCTTTGCCACGGGGCCTGCCCTGTGACGGTGCGAGGCTTGGCCGTGTCCCCACGGCCTGCACCCACTAGGTGCCGGTAGCACTCCTTCCCTGACTTATGACAACAAAAAATGGCTCCAGACATTGCCAGATGTGCCCTGGGGGCAAAATCGTGCCAGGCGGAGAACCACTGGTATAAATTAAATGGAAGTAACAATTCCGCGCCACCCACGGGTCAGCAGAGGATTAAGCTGCTGCCCCCAGGCGTGGGCTGCGAGCTCTGGCCAGTCCCCCGTCTCACAGGCACGCTTAGTAAGAAGCGCACTTGCAGATCTTAATCCAGGGCTGCTGTCCGAGCATCTAGACCCAGCTGGGCACCAGGCCCTGCGGAAGAGCCGGAGGAGCCTGAGACAGGGTGCCTGTTCCCCAGAAGCTCACGGTCATCCTGGAGAGACGGCGCAGTAGAACCAGAAGCAGGCTCCTGGGAGCAGTGGGTGGAGTTACGTCCCTCACCCCGCGGAGGCCACGCCCACGCCCGGGGCTGGGATGAGGGGCGGAAGGCAGGCAGGGTGGGCCCCGGGTCTAGCCCAGGGGAGGAGAAGAGCTGGAGTTCTTGTCGGGACACGAGGCGGGTGAAGCGCTGCAGGCATGTGGCTGGGACCCGAGGGCGGGCTCGTGGAGGCCGTGGCGGAGCTGCGTGTGGAACTCCAGGCAGGGGCACAGGGCAGAGGCGCGGAGGCTGGGGGGCTGGGCCTGCATTCAGACAGCCCCCTGCACCGTGGGGCGAGATGATTTGGCTGGACCCGGGGCATCAGGGGAGGCTTGGTGGAGGGCAAGGCGGAGGGCAGAGGCGAGGCGTGTCAGAGCTCAGGGCGCCACATGGCAGAGCCCTCCAGCCCGGCCCCGGTGCCCAGGCTCCAGCCGGCCAGCTCCAGAAGCCAGGCTGCCAGGATCCCAGGGAGTGGGGACTGTCACCCCGAGCTATGAGTCAGGGCCTCCCCCGCGCAGGTGAGTCACACACCTGCAGCCCTCCTGCCGCTGGAGCTACTGCCTGGAACCAGTGCCCGTGCCCACCGACCACCCAACCGTCCTGTCCCTGGCACCTGCCCTCCGTCCTGCAGAGCCCAGCCAGGCCCTGACCCCCCTCACAGAGGCATCTTTACGGCCGGCCGGCCGGAGCTCCTGGGTGGGAGGGAGCGTCACAGCCTCTCGGGACCGCCCTTCCCCTCCTGACGACTCCGGCAGGTCGGGTAGTCTGTTTGATGCCTGCTGATGCGTCAGAACAGTTTTGAGGGGCTGGCAGGTATTCATTTAGCCTGCCATCATGTCAGGATGTGGCTGGGTCGCCCTCCGTTCCCATCCACCCTTTTCCCTAGCCTGGCTTCGACAGCACCTGTGGCAGCAACGTCCCCAGAGCAGCGTGACACTGCCACGTCTCCAGGACCACCCTCCCACGTGACCCGCAGCTGGAGGGGTGATGGAGAGGAGCCTCGGCCCCCGCTGCCCTCCCCCGGCGCGGCCGGCGTGGGCGTGCGGCGCGCACCCAGGAAGCCAGGGGAGCAACTGGCGGTCACTGCGCGTAGGGAGGAGAGCGGCCTCGGTGCCGGGCGGGCAGGGGAAGTGGAGGGGCCGCTGTGTCAGAGGAGCTGCAGGCCGGGCATGTGCCCCTGGTTGGGGACGGACAGAGCTCGGGCACGCAGGCTCTCCTGGTGCAGCGCTGAGCCTGGGCTTGGAGGGAAGGGGACCAGGGACCTCCACTGTGCTCTTGCCTCAGGCCCGACAGATGATTAGGGCCAGCGGTCGCCACTCCTGCAGAGACTGGGAACGCTTCCCCACATCCCCGCTTCCCCACCACTGGTAGCTCTGATGCTGGGAGGAATGCGGCCCAGTAAGGTGGGGGCGGGGGCACGGGATTCACTTAACTTGAGAGGAAGCTTGGCTCTTGGGTGGAAAGTTCCTTCTCCGTGCCAGCTCCCCCGTGGGCTGGGAGGTGTCCAGGCCATGCCTGCAGACCCACGGACAGGCATCCCTCAGAACTGGCCCCACAGTCCCTGCCCTGCCACTGTCTCCTTCCATCTGTATCCCCTCCTGCCCTCCTTCCTTTCCCTACCTGACAGGCCCTGAAGTCTCAGAGCTCGCCCCCAGGCTGAGCCTTCCCTGGAACGCAGTGATCCAGTGACCAGGGGCTGCGGCCCTGGCGTGGCCAGCCAGGTGGGCGGCCCTGGGGGGAAGGAGGTGGCACCAGCCAGTACTCAGGGGGAGGGGCTGAGCGGCCCCAGAGGGCCCGCTTGCAGCCAACAGTACCTCCCTCCTCTTCCTCCCCTTCTTCCTCTCCCCCGCCCTCATCTCCATCCTCCCTCAGCTCCCTCTCCCTGTCCCCTCCCAGCCACATGGGCCTGGCATGCACTTCCGACCCTTGGCTCCTGTAAGAGCAGCCCAGGACCAAGCAGTGACGCCAGGTGGGAGTGGGAGAGGGATGCAGGCCCATCCTCCTGTGGGTCACAGCCGGGTGCACAGCCTGGAAGCCAGCCAGCAGGGCTGTGACACATGTGCGGAGCGGTGGTGAGGGGAATTTAGAGCCCCTGCAGGGCGTGGAAGGGCTGTGCCTTTCCCAGGATCTGCGCTTTGCTGTTCCCCAGGCTTGGCTGTAGCTGCCCAGCCAGCATCAACACGCTAAGCCTCACCGGCTCTCCCCACTCCCTGAACTGCAGCCCCCCACCCCCCGAGCTCTCTGCACCCTCCAGGCTTCCCACGCTCTCCCCTCCACCTGGCATGTGCTTCCCACTTCCTTCACCTGGCATCTCATCCTCAGAGATGCCACTCAGGTGCCACCTCCTCCAGGAAGCCCTCTCTGACTGCCCTCCCCGACCTGGGGCCTCCTATAGTTTCTAGGGCCTGCCCCATAATAGCATTTATAACACAACATTGTAGTCACTTACTTATCTGTCCCTTCCACCAATAATTGAGGCCAATAATTGCCTTACTTAACGATACCTGGCATACAGTAGGTGTTTAATAAACATTGGGTGGGTGGACGGATTAATGAACTGACAGCAGACCGGTGCATGAAGGGTGGAGGGGGGAACTCCAGGCCAGCAGCCGGGAGAGGCGGGTGTCCAGACCCCCGTCCAGGGCTGCTGGGAAGAGTAGGAAGAAGCTGTGAGTGATGGGAGCCCCCCTCAGCTTTGGGGAAGCATTTGTCAGAGGTCCTGAAGGGCCGGCTGCCTGCCTAGGCTTGACCCAGCCGTGACCACCTTCTCTCCTCGCTCCTAGTATTTCTGCCTGTTGCTGGCGATCTTCCTTGTTGAGCTGGTGGCGGGGGTCCTGGCCCACGTGTACTACCAGAGGGTGAGTGAAGCGTCCTCCTCGTACTTTCCCCGTCAGCTCCCCAAGGAGGGACAGCACGGGGAGGGGTGCATGGGGCTGGGGAGGCAGCGACATGCAGGTGGTCCTGGGCCTCACCCGCCTGCCTTGGCCAAGGATGCCATGGTCAGGTACCCTCCCACTGGGTGCTCAGTGACTCAAGGGTGATATTCGGCTGGTAGAGACAGATGACTGCACTGTCCTTTCACGCCAGTGCCCATACGACTGATGGATGTCCTCAAGATAACGATTGTAAACATTTTTAATATCACCTCAAAATGAAAATCAACAGATACAGCCCTCCATATTCAGGGGTTCCGGGTGCACAGATTCAACCAATCATAGATCAAACATATTTGGGAAAAAATTCCAGAAAGTTCTAAAAGAAAAAACTTGAATCTGCCGTGCACAACTTTTTTTAGGGGGGCGGGGGTGGTGGGAGGGGGGCTGTGCTGCGTGGCTTGCGGGATCTTAGTTCCCCGCCCGACCAGGCATTGAACCCTGGCCCACGGCAGTGAAAGCACCGTGCACAGCTATTTACGTAACATTTACACTGTATTTACAACTATTTACGCAGCGTTTACGTTGCATTAGGTGTTATCAGTAATCTAGAGGTGACTTAAAGTATACGGAAGGATGCGCACAGGTTATATGCAAATACTGCGCCATCTTATTATACACAAGGGACTTGAGCATCCGCAGAAGATCAGTGCTAGTCCTGGAACCACCCCCCAGGTACCGAGGGACGACTGTATTTAAAGGCACCCAGTGCCTAGCCTCACCTGTGCCCCCATCAGCCTTGAGCTCTGGGGCTCCACCTGTCTCCCAGCTCAGCCCATCACACTCCACCTAACGCAGGTCCCCAGCCTTCGCAACACCATCTCTAGGAACCCCGCCTCCCGCCCGGGGTCCCAGTTCACTGTGTGGGAGGCCTCGGCCATAGCAACGTTCAAGTTCAAGGAGCTCTAGAGTACTGGGGGCGGGTCCGTGGGTGGTTCTGCTGACGTACCTTTCCTCTCCACCCTCCTTAGCTGAGCGAGGAGCTGAGGCAGCACTTGACCCGGACCCTGGCCCAGAACTACAGGCAGCCCGGCGCTGCGGAGATCACAGCCTCCGTAGACCGTCTACAGCAGGACGTAAGCACCTGCCCTGCGGGCCTGAAGGCCACGCAGACGTGGGTTCCCATCCTGACTCTGTCCCTTCCCGTCTGTGTGACCCTGGGCGAGTCACTCAGCTTCTCTGAGCCTCACAGGGCGTGGGAGCATTAACTACGCCCATAGGTAGAAGTCCCTCCCACCACGAAATTACTTCCTGAATCCTGGTTCCTTCTTTCCTCCTCTTCTGCCCTCCCCTCTGGGTGCCTGGTGGGCAGGAAGCTGGCGGTACCAGGATTCGGCTGAGGCCCCAGAAGGGTGAACTGTGACAGGCAGAGGCATCTGAGCAAAGCCGCTGTAAGAATTACCCAGTTGCAAGCCATCGGGCAGAACTAGGGGCACAGAAAAGCGGTCTCTCCTTTCCAAGAAGAAGCTCAGCAGATCCCCGCAGTGAGGCCCACAGTCCTGCCAGAGGTTGGTGGGGGCAAGTGGACCTCAGACCGATATGGCCGCCACTGGCCACACGCGGCTCCTTACACCTAAATGTAAACCGCAGGCCCTCGGTCACACTCACCACATCTCACTGCCCGGTGGCCACACGTGTCTAGTGGCCTCAGGGCATTTCCACGTTCCAGAAAACTCTGTCGGATGCTGCAGCTTGCAATCTCGGGGGTTCGTGCTGGAGAATTTGAGACAATGCTCCCCGCCTGCCCTGGTGCCCCTGCTCCCTGCCACCCATGCCACCCTCACCCTGTGGGCCCTGTGCCATCCTGCGTCTGCAGTCCCACCCTGGGCCTGGGGCCGTGGCCTTTTTGCCGGGACCCCAGGCAAGTAGAGGGGGAAGAGGCTGGGGGACCCTGAGCTCCGGCTGTGTCTTAGTTCAGTAGGGGTTGGCACCTGCCCCGTTTCCCCAAGACTGGCCCAGCTCCCAGGGGCTCTCTTGTCCTCCAATGTAGTGGCGAAGGGCAGCCTTGTCCCCAAGGTGCACACACACCCAGCTGGGCAGCCCCTCCAGCTGCGTCTGCACTTGGCAGGCCTCCCACATAGGAAGTGTGCTGGGTCGCTGCCCTGGGGCCTCTCTCAGGAAGCCCGACACCCCACAGGCCACCGCGGTGCAGGTGAGGCTGGGGGACCCTGACATGGAGAGCGGGGCCGGGGAGGCCAGCTGGGCTTGCCGGGGGGAGAGGACAGGAGGGCACAGTCTAAGCAGAGGGGGCCAGCTCTGCAGTGCTGCCCCGCGGGCACCAGAGCACATGGACTCGGGTTCCCACACATGCCAGGAACACCTAGAACACCCTCACAGGGACCTGAGGGACATGGGGCCCGGCCCGCATCTTGGGCCTAAGGACACTGAACCCTGAGAGGCAGCGTCTGGGCTCCAGGCCGCACCACGGGCCTGTGTTCACGCACGTATGGTGACCACAGGGGGCCCCTCGCTAACTCTGTACTGGCTCGTGGCCAAGTGCTTTACGTGACCCGCCGCTTTCAGGCCTCACAGCAGCCCTCGTGGAGGTACCTGGCCATCCCCATGTTACCGGGGGCAAAACTGAAGCCAGGGGGGCTAAGCGACCTGTGCAGGTGGCATACGAGGACAGTCCCGCGGGATTCCCAGCACACGCCATACTGTTCCCTGCTGTCCGTGCTGTTCCCTTCCGCCTGGTCCTTGGGCTCCTCGGCTGCCCTGCGGGGCCTCCTTGGCCCTTTGCCCACGTGAGCACCTCTGTCCCTCCTACTAAGTGATAGTCAGTGACAAGCTTGGGAAAGCCAGGAGCTTCTTACTCAAGTTCAGGCCCAGGGCCTAGCTTCACTCTTGGCACACAGCCGGTGCCTAATAAATGCTTGTTAACTGGACTAAATGTACCTCCATCCCACACACCAGAGAGCCTCACAACAGCCGTGTTCTGTGGCCCCTACAGGGACTTGAGTCTCAGTCCCCTAACTCGGGGTGCAGGAAATAAACCGTGTCCAGCTGTCCGGCTCCCCTGAGGCCCGGGCTGGTGCTCCCCACGCCCCGGAGCCGTGTGGAAGACCCTGGTCTTGTTCGGCCCCTCTGCTCGGCACTGAGCTGGCTGTGTGTGGCCTCTGGGCACCTCTGTGTCCTGCAGGTCTAGGGGATCTGAGGCTTCGAGGCCTGGATGGGGGGCATCTGAGCCTCTGGGAAGGCTGCGACCCTGTGCCGGTGGGGGGGGGTGTCCTACCTCCCTGGATGACCAGGAAAGCACCCCCTGGTGGTTTGGTGCTGCCCTGGGCCTGCATGCAGTGGTACACGGCCCCACTCCCTGGGGGACCCGCTGGCATCCATCTCCCCACATCTTCTCCCAGAACCTCCCTGCCCCAGGGACACCCAGCGCAATCTCCTTAAATGACGTGGGTGAACAAAAAAGGTGGTGATTGGTGTTCCTGCCACCGGCTCTCCACCCGCCCGAAGAGAAGGGCCCCGCAGAGCCAGCCTCCCGCTCAAAAGAGGGGAAGGGAAGAAATCTCGGAAGCAGAGAGGGATTGGATTAAGATCTGAAGACTGTCCTGCGGCCCCATAAGCCAGGGGCTGGAGGGCCCCGCCCCTCCCCGCGGGCGGGTCCTCACCTCCAGCCCCATCTCTCGCTCCAGTTCAGGTGCTGCGGAAGCAACAGCTCAGCCGACTGGCAGCACAGCACGTACATTCTGTCTCCAGAGGCCGAGGGCCGCCGGGTGCCCGACAGCTGCTGCAAGACCGTGGTGGCGCGCTGCGGCCAGCGGGCACACCCCTCCAACATCTACAAGGTGGAGGTAAGTGCCCGTCCTGCCGGGGCAGGCGGGCGGCCCGGAAAGGCTCGAGATGGGCCGGGTGGAGATCATACTCACTCAGCGGCCACAACACGGCGGTGGGCCTTCCAAGGTCCCCACAAAGCCTGGGGGTGGCAGCCGCTCCTGGGAGGTTCGGGGACATCGTGGCACGCCCCTGGGCCACCTGAGAAGCCCACGGGCACTTGAAAGGCTGGACCCGGCCCTTTAAGTGTCTGGCCTCCCTGAGCTGGGTGGGCGTAGCCCCCCAGCCAGCCCTCCCTCCCCATCCTCACACACTTCTGGGCCAAGGGGTGTGTGACCTGCCTTACTACCTTCCAGGGAGGCTGTATCACCAAGCTGGAGCAGTTCCTGGCCGACCACCTGCTGCTCATGGGGGCGGTGGGCATCGGGGTGGCCTGCCTGCAGGTGAGCTGGAGCAGGGATTCGGGTGCGGGGGGCAGTGTCTGGAACTCTGAAGCCCTCTCTCGCTAGCTGAGGTCGCAGATCCTGGCCCTCTGCCCGCCCTTGCCCTGCCTGCCCCCTCCTCCCCCATCCCCTCCTCTTCCCTCTGCAGCCGAGAAAACATGAAGGAAAATACCTGGGCCTTGGGGCCACCTTGAACTTGTCAGGCACAGAGACCTGGGAGGAGTGGGAGTGTGGGCTCAGGTATGTGCATGCACTCTGTGTGTGCACGCGGGGGTGTGTGTGCACAGCCTGCTGGGGTCCGAGTGGGTCCATGGGTGTGTCTGCATGCACCTGGGTGTACGTGGTCAGGGCCGGATGCACATATGTGTTTAGGCGGGCTGTGCATATGTGTATATTCTCGTGCATGGACACGCGCTCATTCCTCTGCGTGTGCGTGTGCGCGTGTGTGTGATGCACGTGTGCGTGCCCTGGAGGTGTGTACACCCAGCTCTGTGCTCTGAGGATGAGTGATGCCTTTTGCTCCGTTTCACCGCTCCACACCCCTCCCCCGGCCACCACCCAGGAGTCTAGTTGCGGTGCAGCCTCAGTTCCTCGTTTGTAAAAAGGAGCTGATGGGTGACCAGAGGGGATGGGCAGCGTGCACATACATCACTCAGCTCATCGCTGGGCAGACAGCAGACACTCAGAACATGGTACCCACCACCGTTTCATCGTTTCTACGTGGGCACAGCGTCTCTCAAAAGAGCCGAGTTGTCTCCTGCCCCCCTCACCCACACTCAGGTGCAGGCGCAGCGAGCCGGGGGCGGCAGGTGGGGGGCACTCACACGGCCCTTTCGCACCGCCCAGGCAGGCCTTCCGCTCGGTGCGCTGACCCCCGGGGGGCCGCAAGCCGGAGCGGGGGGAGGGATGCTCTGCACTGCGGCTCCTACTCTGCCGAGCTTCCCGGACACCTGTTGCAGACTTCAGGTGTTGGGGGCCTGCTCTGCGGACGCTGACCGGACCTGGGCCGCACTCTCCGTCCGTTTCCTCCTGACCTCTGTTCTCAAAAGCGTGAAGCTGAAGATGAAGCAGTGAGGCCAAGGGCAGGGAGCGGGCTGACCGCTGAGCCCGAGGTCAGGGTGGGACACGTCCAGCTGTAGGAGTAACGCAGAGGAGGCCGGGTCACCAGGTCGAGGGCAGGTGCCCGCAGCCCCCCGTTGACCCCCACCAAGGGCGGCTCATCCTCCACAGCGCCCTGCGGGACTGTGCTCATGCCCCGGAGAGAGTGTCACCGGGCCACCTCTGGGTCCCCATCCCCGGCCCATTTTCTCCGTCCGTTCCGCTGCGGCGGCCGAGCCTTGGGGCTCCAGCGCCCCCTGCCGGCTGGCTCTGGAGCTACCACCCAGCCTCGAGGAGGGGCTCAAACCAGGCCAGCCCCCCACCCCCACCCCACGGGCTGCCATCCTCCACCAGGCACCTAGCACCTTCCCCACACCCGCCCAGCCTGGCGCTTCGGAGACCCCCAGGCCCTGGAGATACAAGGCCAAGATGTCATGCCCCCCTGTCCTCAGGAACAGGGGAAGTCTTGCCTGGAGTCAGAGGGCCCCCGTGGTAGACGGAGCCCCCCCTTCTGTGTGATCTGGGGAGCCACCCTCCCTCCTGAGCCTCAGTTTCTTTACCTGGAAAATGGAGGAGTCTGATGTCTGCAAGCCTTTTTTAAGCAGCAGCGATCTCTCATCCTGGAAGTCTTGCACAGGAACCCAGTTACTCAACATGAAGCCAGAGCTGATGCGATGGAGGAGTCAGGAGATGAGCCTGGCGTGAGAGCCCTCAGGAAGCACTTGGCCCCCCCGCGATTTTCCAACTTTCTGGGAAGGCTCCCGCCTCAGTGAGACGGAGGTGCTGCCGCTTCTTGGGACGTTAGGTAGATGTCTCATGAATACTCTGAAGACCAAGCAGGAAGCAACGACAAATGACGAACGTAGCAAAGCTGATTCCAGCCAGACGTCGCGTGTGCCTCCAGGGCGCGTGGACCAGGCACTGGTCTGCCTGCAGAGATGCTGGCAGGCTGGATGGCCAGGATGCGAGGGGGGACGGGCCTCCTGGAGCCTCTGAGGGCTGCACGTTGAGGTCACCTGGCAAGCTTTAAAACGCCCCGGGCCTAGGCTGCACCCCCAGAACAATTAAATAACGCCATCTGGGGCTGGCAGCCGGGCAGCTGTGTGCTTGTAAAGCTCCCTGGTGGGTCCAGCGTGCAGCTGGGAGGAGACACGTGAGAAGGAGCCCTGGGGGCCTGGAAGTCAGCAGTGGGAGAGATCAGGAGCTGGGGGACAGGACCGCACCCTCGCGGTCCTTAACGCCCCAGACAGTCCTGAGCAGGGTGGGCAGGGGCCGGAGGACAGACAGAAACGGGAAGGGGAATTTACAGGGAGCCCGACTGGAGAACTTTCAAAGAACTGGAGCCAGCCGGCAGCGTCCCTGAAGAGCGCAGAGCGCTCCTGGCTGTAGCTTGGGACAGCGGTTGGGGGCTGGTGGGGACACTGAAGGACAGAGGTCCCGCACCTGCCAGGCTGTGCACCTGTTGCTTTCAGCAAGAGCTGGCAGGGCCCCTCCACCCTCCCGTCTTGTGTGACTCCGTACACTGGATTTCCAGACCCGCAAGGTGCCCCAAATCGTAGGCCTGTAGTCCGGGAAAAACTCGAAGATTCTCTAGGTGGGTGTGTCAACCCCGGACACACAGTAGAATCAGGTTTAAAAACTACCCCTGCTCAGGCTCCATCCCCACACATCCGGGCTGTTGGTCTGGGGCGAGACCTGCGCACGGGTGTTTTCTAAATCCCTCCAGGTGATCCCCGTGTGTGCTCGGGGCTGAGAACACGGCCCCACCTATTCACGTACCTCTGGGGCACCAGGCCAGGACCCAGCTCCACCCTCGCGGCCCCTTCCGTGGGTGCGCTTTGGAGCCTGTCCACGCTGAGGTCACTTTGGAAGCTAATTGTCAGCGTATTCTGGCCAGGAAGCTTCTATCTAAAAAGGACATAGTGGCTCAGCCCCTTTTCTGACCGTCCTCTTCACACACAGAATCCGGGAGCCTCCCTCTCAGGGGCAGGGTGGGCAGAGGAGGGGGAGGGCGAGCACTCTTTGTCAGTTTTGTAACGGGAGCTGCTGTGTGCCAGGCGCCCTGCCCAGTGCCAGGCCACACCAGCCAGCAGCACGTGGTCCCCTCTGCTAGGGGCTCTCACTCTAGGGGAGGAGACACAGAGAACACAGGAGCCACGCACAGTCACAGTGTGAGCCCTGGGGTTTGGGGAGCACATAGGAGGCCTGAACCATCATGGGCAGTCAGAGAAGGCTTCCTGGAGGAAGTGATATATAATTAAGCCTTGAAGGAGTTTGACAGAAGCAGAAGGGGGAAGCATGCCAGGGTGAGGGGACTACCCGTGCAAAGCCCTGGATGGCTGGGGGATGGGGGAGGTTTATCCTGAGGGCCCTGGGGAGCTTCTCACAGGCTCAGGGTGCAGAAGGGGCTGGGTGCCGTGGTGTTGGTCTTGTCATACTGAGTTTCAAAGAATCTCACTGGGAAGGCTCTGGACCTATGTACGGTCTGGATGTTTTCCTATTGATAGAGGGGAACTTGGGGCTCAGAGGTTATGACTGAACCCAAGGTCACAGAGCCCCAGATAGAAGCTAACCCACTCCCACCCTGACATTCCCACAACGTAGGATGGAAACCTGAGCCCAGAAACATACAGGACAGCGAGATTGGGGTCTGCAGGTCATTTAAAGGGGAACTGAAAGATCTTATCGGAACGGCTTCTTGGACCTCCCTGGCCCATCCTTGATGCTTGTAATGACAGCCGGCTGCCGTCCCAAAAACCTCACAAGAGGCTAAAAGCATGCCGGCCTCCCTGTTAAAAAGCCCGCACGCAGCAAACACCGCCTCCAGGCAGGCTACCAGGAGAGGGCACCTCTCACCCGTGCCCCACACAGGCTGAGCCCAGCAGCCTGTCCAGCCCACCCTCTGCCATCTCCTGCTCCTGCAGCCCCTTTGGCCTGTGTGTTCCCTGCTCACAGCCGTCTGTGCTGAGTCCCCCATGTCCCCTGTCAGGAACGGGACACTGGGGGTCCCTCAGGGACTGGATAGTTTGGGCCCATTCCCCTATGGGAATCAGGGTGGTGTGTGTGTGCGTCCGTGCGTGTGTGCGTGTGTGAATGTGCACATCCTCGGCCCCTCTGCATGCATCAAAGTGGTGTGTGTGTGCATGTGCACATGTGTGTGTATACACGTGTGTGTACATGTGGCCACGTGTTGATGAGCACATCGTCTGCCCCTCTGCATGCATCAGGGTGGGGTGTGTGTGTGTGTGTGTGTGTGTGTGTGTGTGTGTGTGTGTTTGGACATGCGCTGACGTCCACCTCGCCGTGCCTTCCCCAGGGGCACCCTTGGGACACATGTCATGTACAGAGTGCGCGTGCTGGACGCTCAGCCCTCCGGGCCCTCCCCGGCTTGAGAGGTGTGCCGTAGGGGATGCAGCCACAAGTCTGTGCTGGTCCAGCTGCCCCCATCTGGCCTCCCCCTGACAAGATGATCCCCCAGGACAAGTCATCAAACCATGAGGTGGGACAGGGCAGAGGGCCTGCACGCCACCTGGCTGGAATGACTGTGACCGCCACCCGCTTAAAGCCAGCAGGAGATGAGATAACCTCTTAAGCCACCTTTGAGCCCATGGCTCTGAATCCCAGAGGTGGATTAGCGCTGCTCTTAGCACCAAGTCTGAAAGCTGAAAGCTGTGTTCCCAGGGCGTGAAACTCCCGCGTGGGGACAGAGGGGAGGGAGGAAGGGGGCACAGAAGGGCTCGACCTCTGCTCCCTCCTTGAGTCTCTCAAAGAGAAACTAGGGTCTGCCAGCCCCACGCCGTCCTCATCAGCCTGTCCTCCTCCGTGTGCATCTGGAGGTACCCTGGAAAGATCAGGTCAGCAGCAGCCACTGGGAAAGATGGGGTACTGTTTCCTATATTTGGGAAACCCACCTGGACCCCTGTCCGCGGCACAGTCACGGGCTGCCCTCCCAGTGTCCCCTCCTGCGGGCCAGGAGCTGGAAGCCAGCAGCGCCATCTTCATCAGGGCCACGGCCCCAGCCCTGGGCCTCCTTGGTCTGACACGGCCTCACCTCCGCGTTCTCAGTGCATCCTCGCACATGAGGGAGGAGAGGAAGAGGAAGAAGCAAACAAAGAACAGGGTGGGGAACAAAGGTCCTCATCCTCTGCGTTTAGAGACGGGCAAGTGAGACGTGGGAGGCGACTGCCCAGCACTGCCCGGCTCTGGGCAGCTCGGAGATGGGACAGAGGGGCTGGCAGGCAGGCTCCCCGGGCCTGGGGCTGGGGCCGTGTCCCGAGCTGGTTTACAGGATGAGCTGGTGACGGTCCTGGACGCTCCACTGAGGGCTTCAGTTTCCCCTCCTGCACGTCGGCCAGAGAATCGACTCCGGGGCCTTGTTTTTCTCTGGTATCTGAGAGCAGCAAGATGTAGACAGACTTTCCTCAGGAAAGACGGCTTCAGCCAGCAACGAGGGAGTGGCGGTGTCACCGTTCGGAATCTAATAAAACCAGGCCATCTCCAGAGAAGATCTGGGACCACAGAGCCGCCGTGTGGACAGGAAGCTGGTTCGACGTGCAGGCCCTCACCCAGGCCACAGAATTGCAATCTGCAGCTAACAAGGTCCCCGGGGATCCGTGACCATTCAAGTGTGAGAAATACCGCTCTTGGGTGTGGTTCTCAAAGTGGTCCCCACCTCCACCCCCAGCATCACGTGGGAGCTTGTTAGAAATGCAGAGTCCCAGGCCCAGGACCCCCTGAATCTGCCCCTGATCAGGTCCCCAGGGGGCACTTGGGGGTGGGAAGCCCAGCTCCAGGGCGCCCTTGGCCGGCACACTGGCGGGCTCTGATTGCTCTGTCCCTCTGCTCTTTCCACCCGGCAGATCTGCGGAATGATTCTCACCTGCTGTTTGCACCGGAGAGTCCAGCTGCATTTATACTAACGGCCAACCTTGTCCCCATCCCACTGCCCCTCGCAAGTTCAGGGGCCCAAATCCCATCGGCCAGGCCTGCGACATCAGTATCAGCTGGCCTAGAAGCTCCCGGAAACAACCCCCACTCTGTGCCCAGCCCCTTGGGACCCACAAGTGCCTGAGACCATGGCTCCTGCAGCCCCCCGCCCGGGCCGGGGACCCTCAGCCCCCTCCCTGCACTTCTGTGGGCTCACCGCCAGAACCCCCAGGCCGGGGACGGAGCCTGCTGGGAGACCACAGCCAGAGCCTCTCCAGGCATGGGCTCCCGAGGACCGCAGGGGGCTGGGCTCAGGCTGTGCCCCCTCCCTGCTCCTGAACCCTGAACCAGGGCTAGAAACCTTGGCCCCTCTGCGATGCTTACGTTGGGCCCGTGACCCTCCCACCTGTGCTCAGCATCCTTCCTCGTGCCTCTGCTAGGTGTGCTTTTTCCCCCCCCGGCCCAGGAAATGCATCAGGTGGGCAGGTAGGGTTGGCTCTGCCCCCAGAAGACCTAGCCTTCTGCCCACCACCACACCTTCTCACCTGGAAAGGAGTGTCAGGTGTCCTGGTTCCTTCCTGCAGGGCCGGGGTTGGGCGGCACAGGCGGGGTGGAGCCGCCAGGGCCGGGAGCAGGGTCCTGCCTTGGGCCCCTCCCCCGGAGAGGTCCCCAAGCCCCGTCTCTAGCCATATGCCCCTCGGGGGTCTCCTGTCCATGGCTTGAATCTCAGGGTCACCGATGCCAGTTCATTAAAAGGGAGGCCAGCTTTCCAGCAATCCCAGATTGCACCAAAGCCAAAAAACATGGTGCTGCGATTATCTTTGCTGCCCTCCAACTTCCTGGGATTCGTGCATATAATCGAAAAATAACCATAAGCCCCAAGTTCTCTGCAGGGCTAGAGGCCAGGCTGATGTCACACTCTCCCGCCGGTACCGGGACCCCGGGCCACCTCACTCCAGAGTGGCAGCGTTTCTCCACGGGGACCAGTTCATTTGTCCCCGTCCCCAGATGCGGGGGGGGGGGGCACTTTTCACCCCAAAGCAAAGTGACTTCCATCGTAATTCAGAGAAGCTGGGGGACCCAGGTTGCCCAGTGTGAAGCCAGAAGGAAGTAAATGCTTCGTCTTTTGTGACAGAACGCGCTCGTTCTACTTCATTCACTCTTCTGTCTAGAAAACTTGCTTGAGGTGGGCGGGGCTGGGGTCCGTGGGAGCACCTGGGCCAGCTGGGCTTGGGTGGCCCCAAGACAGGGGTACGGGGTGGTGTGGGGGTCTGCAGGCTGGGCACGAGCTCCTCGCCTGGTGTGAACCCGACAGTCCCATTCACTATATGAGCCCTCCATCCACCAGGGATGTCCCTGGGGGGAACCCACCTTGCAGGGGAGTCCACAGCCCTGCCCTCCTCCTGTGTCACGCCCGCATCTTGGTCGAGATTATTCTCTGAACAACCACGGGGCCGCCCTCCGATGGCCTGGGTATCAGGCAGGGGCTGGACCCGGTCTAGGCACGTCTGAGCACATCTGTCTTGTTGGGCCGGCATGTCGGCTCACCTGCACCATCACCGTGAGCGTGAGTATGCACGCGTGTCCGCGCAAATGCTCAAGCGTGCCCGGGGGGCCGGCACACCTGCAGGCCCCTCCCCGCTGCACACAAGCAGCGCTGGGGGTGGTGGGCACTGCTGTCTACACAGGCTGGCAGTCAGCGGGGCCCCGGTCAGGTGGGTGGGCAGCACGAAACCTTTGCGAAGCTGTCCGCCTCGGTGCCCGCCGGCGGGCCCGTCGCCTGCCGCTCCGTGCCAGCTCTGAGGGCCGGGCTGTCAGGCTGCAGTGGCTGGGCTGCCGCGAGCTGGGCCCTGCTTCCCTCCGTCCCCCAGCTGAGAATGGACAGGCTGTCAGTGGGGGCACAGGAAGCCCCGCTCCCGCTCTCCCCCTGCATCCGTCACTGGCTGAAGATGACGCAGTGGCTGAAGATGGTGACACAGTGACTGACGGCCGGCAGGGGGGCCTGGGGGAGCCTCTGGGTCAGGCCAGGGGGTGAAGAGGGCGGTCAGTAAAGCACGAACCCAGCCCTGTCCGTCAGCAAGGTCCAGACTCTGTCCTTGCACTTTGTCGTCAGCCAGGCCAGCCGGAGCCAAGAGGGCTAATGGTCCCATTGGCGCCGTTTCACGAGGTGGGAACGGTTTCCACCAGACCCTTCAAAAGCTGTAAGTGTCCCTGAAAGTCCTTATCTGGTGTTTAGGGAACCCCAGGTTGGGGACCACAGATCAAATTTCACATGCTTTCCCTGAGTTGCCAACCAGTAAGTAAGAAGGCTGAGTCCTTTGGAACTGGGTCTGTTGACCCAGAGAAGATATCTATTGAGACTATATTGGCCCTGCAGGAATTCAGTGCGGGGAGAGGGAGGCAGAAGACCAGGAGCTTCCTGAGGCCATAGACCAGTGAGAGGGCCTCACCTGTCCACACGCTGGATCAGCCTTGCTGCAGACGCTGGGCGAGGCTGGTTCCCTGAGCTCTGCAGACACCCGGAGAAAAATCTCTGGGTGGCAGCAGGCTCTACCCACCAGACCCCCAGAGCACACTGGGGCCTGGCTACACCCTCTGCTCAGCATCAAGGGGCACTGAGGGCAGCTGGGCAGTGCTCAGGGGAGCCTCGAGAGGGAGAGCCCAGCAGCAGCGTCAACCGGAGAGCCTGGCCCGGGCACGCCCTGTGGAGGGTTGTTACCCTTTTTGTTAGTTTAAGAAGACACACTAGTCCGTCTCCATGGCTGCGTTACACTCAGCAAAAACCAGATGGCTAAATCAATAGCCTCCAATCTTTGCCGAACACTTTAAGAAGGAACCATTGCAATGCTAATACGTTTGTGTCCAAAATGACATTGACTTAATCTGACTTGTGTGGATTTGTTGAATGCTGCTACTGGACCAGCAGAGCAGAACAAGCCCCCCGGGGGAGGGGGGGGGAAGCTTGCCCACCGAGCCCGCACATCTCCTGAGCTCTATCCCTGCTCCATACTCCATCCAGCTCTGCCCCCCAGATCACTCTCTTCCAACTCCAGTTTTCAGCCAGGGGGATGCTCTTCCTTGGGGTCCCACCTCTTGTTTGGGGACTCCTGAGGCCCCAGATTCGACCAGTGTCTTGCCAAGCACCTACTCTGGTTCAGAACAAGCTGGATGTCTTCTTTTTTTTTTAAATTTATTTATTTTAATTTATTTATTTTTGGCTGTGTTGGGTCTTTGTTGCTGCGCGCAGGCTTTCTCTAGTTCTGGCGAGCGGGGGCTACTCTTTGTTGCAGTGCGTGGGCTTCTCATTGCAGTGGCTTCTCTTGTTGCAGAGCACGAACTCTAGGTGCGCGGGCTTCAGTAGTTGCAGCATGTGGGCTCAGTAGTTGTGGCTTGCAGGCTCAGTAGTTGTGGCTCGTGGGCTCTAGAACGCAGGCTCAGTAGTTGTGGCCCACGGGCTTAGCTGCTCCGTGGCATGTGGGATCTTCCCGAACCAGGGCTCGAACCCGTGTCCCCTGTATTGGCAGGTGGATTCTTAACCACTGCGCCACCAGGGAAGCCCTGGATGTTCCCCCATCCCGCTGGTAACTCCCTTCGTTCTCACGCTGTAGCCAGAGGCATGGCACGCAAGGGCAGAGCTGAGCCGGTCCCACGGGCTTCAAGCCTCTCAGCGGGCGCCCACTGCTCTTAGCTTGAAGTTCAAACTCACCCACCGGCTCACAGGCTGTGACCCCTGCCCAGCCAGGGCAGCTGCCTCTCACAGCACACCTGGCAGGAACCCAGCGCTCACAGTGCGGCCGGGATGCTCCAGGAGCAGACAGCACAGGGGCCAGGTGGCATCGCCGTGGGGCGCCCACGGGCTGGGGCAGGAGTAAGAGCAGGATGGGCAGGGGGAGCGGCCCCACCGGCGCTCCTCTGACTTGGTTGGTCCTCAGCAGATGACAGAGGGTCACCTGCCCTCGGCCCCAAGGTCCCCCGGTAACTGTCCTTGGGGAGGCTCCCAGGGACCCCACTCCACTGGACCTTCGAGAGGGTCGCCTCAGACTCCTCAGTCCTCAGCGAACCCCCGGGGGCTTCGGGGCACAGCAGCTGTGGGAAGGGGTGCCAAGGTGGGTGCTCAGGACAATTCGTGCCAGCCTGGCCTCCCCCTGAGGAGGGGGGCAGATCTCCACGTGTGGAGGGGCTCAGGGAGACCCCGTGCTGTACCTACCCTTCCTTCCCGCCCAGCCCGTCCACCCACCCCTCTCCTGTTCCTTGTCACTGTGACGATGACAGCAGAGGAAAACCCACAAGCCAGAACCCCAGCTGAGGGAGCTGGGAGCCTCCCGCTGCCGCTGGCCGGCAGATCAGGGCTCTCGCGGCTCCAATGCCGCCCTCCGTCCCCGCCGACCATCTCTTGCTGACGGGTGCCTCCTGCCCTCTGAAAGCCGTCCCAGGGCCACCCTCAGCAGGTGCGGCCCAGACCAAGTCACACGTGAGGTCCCTTCAGTCCTGGGAGAGACGCCAGGCCCACACGAACCCCAGGAACCTCGCAGGGACCGGGGAGAGGCTGTACCAAGCTGACAGCCCCGGCCCACTGGGGGCCTCTGAGAACTTGTTCCTGGCCCCGCCCTCACACGCTTACAGGACCCCAGGACTGGCCATCTGTGGCGGGTGGCGGACACCGAGGCGGGAGCTGGCCTCTCGCGCGGCCAGGCCGCCGGGACAGGCCCCTGACCCCAGAGACCCCTCCCCACCCAGCAGATCTGTAGCTGGGCCCGAGGAGGTGGGGAGAGGCCCTTGCTGTGGGCTGTGCGTGGACAAGGCAGGCTGGTCCCCATAGCAACACCTCGTGGAAAAGCCACAGTCGTGGCTCCGTGGACACAAACACCACAAGGACACGGGCTGCGTGTGCTTTTGACACGTTATCAGTTTTTATTTAAAAACATGCTAAAAACATGGCGTTCCGTAAGCCAGGACCAGGAGGAAGGAAGCGCACAGATACGGCATCGCAAGCAGAAAAGTGCATTGAAAACAGCACGCGTGCCCCCCCGCTCGGCCATGCTGCCCCAGCGGGCAGCGTGTGGGCACAAGCCCCAGGCCTGGCCCTCGAGGGGCCCGGTCAGCGTGGCGAGGCAAGGACACGGCCTGGACTTGGCCTCGTGGCGGCGGAGCGGGGGGATGGGAGAACAGGAACGCAAGAGGCCGGCCCTGAAGGGCTGAGGGGCGGGGGGACCTCAGGCACCCGGCTCCCGCTCCGTCCTGGCTGGGTCGCTGCTGTTAGCACCTCCACCAGCGGTGGGCAGGGGCCGGAGAGGCGAGACATCCTTTCCATCCACCTGGACCACTCTTCGGCCACCAAAGCAAGGACGGACGGCCATCTGGTCCAAGTGAAACCAGAACACCTGCACGAGGGCCTGGGGTGGGCCAGCAACCTTTCCAGGTGAGGGGCCACGACGCAGGCCCATGCTGGAGGGGAGAGAGGAGAGGGCCTCCAGCGGGGGAACAGGGGTCGGCACCTGCTGGGGTCCCCAAGGGCCGTGCTCAGCCCTGCTGGCTCACCTCCCTTGCGAGACGGCTGCAGAGAGAGGCCGAGTGGAGACAGGCACTCCCCTGACGTCTGCAGGACCTTGGCCTTGGGAGTCAACTCTGTAAACCGCCTGCATCAGACCCCACTGAGCTAACTGTGACCTTGGCAGGGGAGTCGCCAAGGAGGGGTTTCCCTCAGGTAGTGCTGCCCTCGAGAGCAGGGTCGGGAGAAACCGAGCAGGTGCTGGGCCCCATCACTGACGTCACACGGCGCGGTGGGGACCGCTCTGCACGGTGGGCCAAGCACAGGGTCAGGCGAGAAGGCAGTTTGGGGAACTGTGGACAAGGCTCTGTGGACAGACGGACGGGGCAGGGGCCGGAGGACGCCCCTTGAAGCCCCAGAAACACAAGATGCTAGCGAGGCCATACACCACCAAGGTGCTAGGCTTTCGCTGCTGATTTTAACAAAAATTTTACATTGCATTGATAGGCGTAACCCCCCCCAAGATAAACCCATTACGCAGCAGGGCCGCTGTGCCGCCCGAATGCTTGTTTGTGGAGGGTCCCTCGCGGCGGAATGGTGGTGCGTCCTCTCTGGCCTCTGCAGACCTGGGCTCCCGGGAAGGCAGGGCCAGAGGGCGGGGAAGGCCCGTCCCCTGTGGCCTCCACCCGCGGCCCTGCCCACGGGCTTTCCCATGAGCACCCCACTCCCGTCTCAGGAGGTGGTCTCTGCTCTGCCCAACCCACTGAGCGCACCCTACTCTCTGCCGCCCGCACCCAGAAGCTCGACTCCCGAGCACACCAAAAGCTCTGTACTGGTCCCAACCGTCTTGTACTTAAGGGAGAAGGGGGCTGCTGGCTGGGTGGCCAGGTCTCAGCTCTCGGAACAGACAGGTGGAGGCTGGGGAGGAGACAGGGCCCCCCAGGAGGTCAGGGCACCCATCCAACAGTGCAGAACAAAGGCAGCGCCCAGGTGAGGCCCACCTGGGGAAGCACCAGCTGGTGGGGAAACCTTTCCAATCTCAGCCCCATGGACTCTTGACTTATTTTTTTAACTGCACAACTTGCTTAGACCAGCATGAACCCTAGTCGGGGCACCCCGCGGCAGTCGGATGCCCCCCAACTGTCCATCTCCAGGCCCTGACTCAGGCTGCTCTGTCCTGGGGCGACCGTAACAGGATCCCGTCTGACCTCTCTTGGGTCTCGGTACTCTTCCTTGGGGTCGCAGAGGACGTGATCACCAGTCACCTCAGCATCGATGAACCCCAGGGAAGGAGATGAGGTCCTGGGACCCGGTGGACGTCTCTCCCTCCCTCCAGCAGGGAGTCAGCAGCTGAGCGACTCTGGCTGGAGCGACCACGGCTCCGCCTCCCCTCTGGTGGTCGTGGGTCCTCTGCCGCTGTCTGAGCAGCTCCTCGGAAGGACCGCTTCCCCTTCCAGAAGCAACGTGAGAGGGTAAGCAGCGTCTGAACTAGAGAGGTATTTGTCCAAGAGTTTCTAGCAGGAATGTCTGTGAAATAACGTGTTTGCAGAACCTGTCGCGGGAATGCCCGCAGGGGTGGAAGGGGAGCCTCCCGGGCCCACAGAGGGCAGGAGGGAGGAAGAAGGGAAAAGGAACTGCTCATCAGTGACGCATAAGGACCCACGACCGCTCGGCCTCGTTCCCAAGCAAAGCACCCGCAGCCCCCAGAGGACCCCCGGCCCAGGCCTCTCACGCGGCCTGGGCCTCGGCAAACGCTGCACCCTGCAGGCCTCGCCCCCGCACGGCCTCCTGCGCCTCCGTCTCCCCTGCCCCTCCCAGGCTCCCTGCTCCCCCACCCTCAGTGCATCCTGGCGAGAGCCTCCTGAGTGTGCACAGCGGCCTGTCCTGACAGAAACCGGGTGGACACGCCCTGTCCCTGCCTGTCCCCACCCTCAGAAAGAAAATCAAACCGTTACAGAAATCAACGCAGTAAAAAGTTATAAATCAGAAAGCTAACCCTAAACTTATCCAAGAGATAGTATTCCTGAATAATCGTAATCAGAGTAAAATAAAATAGAAAAGTTACACTGTAAGGTATAAAAAGCCTGGGCGAGATGTTTCCAGGGGCCCGGCCGGGAGACGGTCAGCCCCGCCCGCGTCCGCGCACCCGCTCTCCGGGTGGCCAGGGGCACCGGGGCCTCCGCCGCGCAGTCTCTCCACCGGGAGGGAGCCCTGCGCCTCCCGCCCCACGCCACGCGGGGACAAAGTGTCAGCAGAGGAAGGACAGGGCAGAAGCGCACTGGTGCCGGGGGGCTCCCAGAGCACACCGCCTGCCCACCCTGTCTTCTTTGGCAAATACACAGGCATCTGGGCACCCCGGCACCCCGAGGTCTCTGCACCTCCTCCTCCCTGGCCTCCGCCCGCCGATAAGGCTGCAGCGGGTGGCGGGGAAGCCAGGCCGGGGCGGCGGGTGCAGGGGTCAGCAGTCTGGAGGGTGCGGGCAGGTGACACAAGCTGAAGGCCTCTTCCCGGGCGCAGTGTCCGCGGGGCCGGGGCGTTCGGCCGGCCCGCTCAGGCGTCATATTTTTTCCCAGTCCGGTGGATGTGCTGGAAGAGGGTCATGGAGAAGGCCATGCCCAGAATCTGAAAGAAACAGGGAAGGCCTCAGATGGGGGCCACGGGCACCCAGAGCGTGTGAGGCAGCCCCCTGCAGGATGCAGATGCTGGCGGAGTGAGAACGATGCAGAAAAGGGGAGGCCGCACGTGGGGACCGCGGCCGCTCGGACTGTCCGTGCGGGATGTCACCGAGCTTCGAGGCCCAGAAACCTGCCGTTTCAGAGCGCCGCGGTGAGGGCAGGACCTGACCCTAAGTGGCAGCCGACGGGGAGCTGGGGGCATGGGGGTAGCGGCAGGACGTTGACAGCCCCCCGCCTCACTTCCGCGGGGTCCTGGGGTACATGGCGTGGCGTCTGACTGCTGCTCCGCTGGGAGGAAGTTACCACTCATCTGGGTCCCCTCGGCCCCCCAGTCCCGAGCGGAGCAGAATGTGCAGGAAGCCAGCCTGCGGCCTCCCGGGCACCAGCACTCGCCGCGAATCGCGCGGCCAAGGACACCGTACTTCCCGTGGCACTCACACTCAAGGTCTGCCCGTGACCTTGGAGACCGAGGGGCCCAGCCTGGCCCCGGCGTCCTGGTCCAGGCCGGGCTGCAGGCAGCCCCGAGCCGAGCCCCACTCTCGGCACCGGAGAGACCCTTGCTCCCATGAGCCCGTCTTCCGTCAGAGCCCTGAGCAGGGACAGTGGCTTGTCTGCTAAGCTTGGAGGCTCGCAGAGGACCAGACATGGTCCGGCCCGCGGGGTTTAGGGAAGAAAGGGGACCTCGTGCAGGAGCTCATCTCCCCGTGATGGACCAGTCAGGGTCAGGTGGTCACCAAGGGTAGGAGTTATACACAAGTGGGCAAGGGGGAGCCCATAATGCTCCCCCAGAAAGGCCGGGGGCTCCTGCTCTCACCACGTCAGCCTTCTCTTCAAGGAGGGAGCCGGGGGCCCCTGCAAGTCCCCCTCCGTCACCCACGCTGGGCCTTGCACAGCACGACCGCCCGCGAAACGTTGGCTGAGGGCAGCGAGCCCTTCCCGAGCGCCTCCCCCGTGCGACATGTGGGCTATTAAACTCACATAACGCTCAGAAGCGGCCCATGATCACGCCCACTACGCGGATGTGTAAACGAAGGCACAGCGGCTCAGCCACCTGCCAGGCCGCCCGTATCCCACGGGATGGGGTAGACCCCGCGGAGGCGCCTGTAGGCCTTGCTCACAGCTGACGCCTGAGGACTCACCGCCGTTCAGTTCAGTCACAGGGTAAACGTCCCCGTGCTGTGGGGACAGGCACGTCACAGGCAAACCCATGGCGGCTTCCTGCGGGCTCACACAGGCCCCGGGGGCGCAGCCCAGGCGGGGAGGGCCCCCGTCAGTCCTCTCTCCCTTGGGCTTTGGGGCTGGGCTGCGCGAGGCTGGACGGCCCCCTTACCTGCACGATCAGGATGCACATCCCCACCGTGCCGAGCACGTGTTTATTGTCATCAAACCACATCTTCACCTTCTCGTAGCAGCCCTGGGGAGCGAGGACCAGAGCTTCAGGCGCCGGCGTGACCCTCTCTGCGCCTCTGCCCCTGCCCCCGGCCCCGGTCCTCTTGCCTTCGAGCATCTCCCCCAGGGGATCCGCCTACAAGGCCCCGCCGCACAGCCCCAGACCCCATTCCCTCCGACCTCCGACGCCCCCAAATGTGGGCCCAGATCCCCCACTGCCCACCTGCCTTCTGGCTTCAGGCCTGTGCATCCCCGCCCGCCCCACATTAAGCCACCTCCTTGGTGGCCCGGGCCACCGTCCCCAGGCTGTCCACCGCACGGACCCCTGAGGTGGGGTGGGGTGCAGCCTCACCGTCCTCCACACGGGGGCGCTGCTGTTGCGCCCACAGCCCTGGGAGTTCTCCATGCAGCAGCGGTCGGGAACCGTGTTCTCCCCCAGCACCGGGTACCAGTCTGTGTAGTCGGTGACACCACAGCACCGCATCTGCAGGGGGAGGGGCCCAGGGTCAGACGGGCCACACCCGGCGTCCCCGTTGGGCTTCCCCTGTCACCCGGCCCCCAGGGGAGCTGCCGCGTGGAGTTCAGCCTTCTCGTCCCTTCTTTGGGCCTCAGCCGGGCCCAGGGGAGGAAGTGATCGCTCCTTCCTGGAGGCTGGATGGGGAGAAGGCAATGTCACCTGCCCTCTGAGCTGGGCGCTGGGCGCTGGGCAGGCCGCTCGGCCCTCCGCTCGCCCACCAGCCCCCTGGCTCTTGGCTCTGTGGACCGTCCCAAGCTGGCTGTAGCACCCTGCCCCCTCGCGCTGTGCTAACTCGTTTCCTCTTAGAACAGAACCTCTTGAGTCATGACAAGGGAGGCAACCCTGCTGCTAAAATAAGTTGTCGTTCGTGCCAAAGCTTCAGAAAGGAAGGGCTTGGACGAGGTGCCCTCTCTATCATCCGTCCTTCCCAGCTCCCTGGGCCCCGCAGCTGCAGGTCCTGCTTGCCGACCCCCTCACCCCTCTGCGGCTGCCACACGGTGTCTGACCCAGAAGGCCAGGGTGCCCAGCCGGGTCCCAGAGTCTGAGGCCAGGCCCCGCCCCCCCACCCAGCACGACCCCGCACCTCGGCCTGAATGATGTTCCAGGCGTTCTTAAGCCCCACGTTGTTCTCCGAGTTGTACAGCAGCAGGCCTTCCTTCAGGTCCTTCCTGGCGTTCTCATTCACCTGACAGGTGAGGGCAGACTCAGTCGGGCGAGAGCAGGAGGCCGCCCCGCTCCCCAGCTCTCCCAGGTCGGCCAGGACAGCTGGCCACAGCTCTCCCGGGCGGGGAGGCCCGCGGGGGGCCGGGCGGTGACCCTGGAGAGCCGAGCTCTTCGGGCCAGAGCTGTGACACGGAGGCGGGGACAGCCCAAGCCCCTCAGCTGCCCTGGTCCCAGGACCAGCCCCGCACAGGCCACCTGCCTCCAGGCCACGACACCCCCCAAGGCTGCCCCTGTCGGGACACACCCTGGGAACGCAAGGTGCGGATCAGCCGTCCCGAGCGTGGGCCACCTCTGCTGTGTCTGTGAAGTTGGAAAATAGCCTCTATCTCTGGGATCGTGAGAGCTAAAGGAAAGGACTCCCATAAAGAGCTGAGAACAAGGCTGGCCCGCGGGGATCTCGCAGTATTATTCGTGCCTCCTTTTCAGAGATGCAAAGGAACTACTGTTACAAATCCTAAGAGTGCCTCTCCCTCTCAGCGTGGCCCGGGCGCCTCCTTCAAGACCCAAGGAGAAGATGGTAACACGGTTCTGGGTACAACGCACCCAAAGGGCCCACCGAGCCCAAAGCCCGCGCTTGGCCAATCGTTCCTGGCGGTCCCAGAAGAAGTTCCCCAACTTTGCAGGGAACCGTCCAGCCTGGCGGGGTCGCCAGGGGTCCCTGCTCCACCCTCCTGAACCCCCGGGGCAGCCTGGGAGCAGCTGTCTGTCCCCAAAGGTCTCTGGAATCACAGCTGCCTCCACTGTGAGCCCTACGCACTGTCACCTGGAAGCTTCCCCTGTGTTACCGATAGGTTACGCTCCTATCACCCAGCCCAGGCACCTAGTGAGCTCTGCATCCCTTCCCCACAACTGTGTTTGAATACTCCCAGTGACGGGGAGCTCACTGCCAGAGGCCGTCCGTGGCATCCCGTGGTCATTGGAGGACTCCACTTCCTAAGACTACACTAGGTAATGAGCCCCCACCAAAACCTCTCCTCCAGGCCCTTCTTAGCTCTCCTCTCCTCACAAGTATGAACTGTCACTGCTTTTCCTCCGGCTTCCCAGACCCAACCCCAGGGGCAAGGAAGTTCCATACGCCCCCTCCCCTCCTGGAAGGCTTACCTTGTCCGTGTAGACAAAGAAGAGGATAATTAAGATCAGCTCCGCCAGGAGGGTGATCAACAAGACGATGAAAAACTGCAAACAGAAGGTGCAGGCGTGGGCACGTGGCAGCGGTCCCGGCCGGGGACGGGGTGCAAACGGGGTGGCCGGGGACAGGTAACACCTAGACAGGACTTCCCAGGTACGGGAGAGGCCACGGCTCCTGAGGACTCCCAGATGGGGAGGGCAGGGAGAGGAGGCAGACACCAGTCAAGGAGTGGGAGGGGCGCCTAGGGCAGGGGCAGCCAATCATGAGGAAGAGGGGTGGGGTCAGGCAAAGACCATTCTAGGAGCTACTTCTCCGGGCTCAGGGGCTCAGATGCAGGGCGATCCAGCGTTCGGAGGGCTGGGGAGTCTGGGGCCCAACTTACACTCAGAAGGAGGCACCTGTTCTCCTTGACGGCGCCCAGGCAGCCGAGGAAGCCCGTCACCATGACGACGGTGCCTATGGCAATGACGAGGTTGGCTGCAGACAGCGATGGGAAGCTGGGGGAGAAGGTGGCAAAATTGCCTTGGGACACGGAGAGCCAAATGCCCACTCCAAGCAGTCCACAGCCACAGAGCTGGAGAGAAAGGGAAGCCTGTTAGCCCAGCACTACTCTGGTATCCGTCTCCACAAGACTCACAGGACTGCGTGTCCCTCCACTGCCCCCACTTCCCCCGGCCCCAACCGTGAGACACGGACAGGGTGCAGCTGGGTGGTGTGACCTGCACGAAGCCCCCAGCCTCTCCGCGTCAAACGGGATGGAACTAGCTTCTCGAAGCTCAGAGGGTCACGTCAATAAGGACAAATTAAACAAGGCGCAGGGAAAGCACGTAACAAGTACGGAAGGTCCTAGCCGCACGTGCGTGGCCATGGGGGTCCCACTCAGCAGAGGAGGGCCTGGCGCTCCGGAAGGAGGCGGGGAGGGGCCACATGGTCATGGAAGCAAGTGAGGAGTTTGGGAGGGAACCGCCGAGCCAGTTTCTCAGAGCCAGACCCTGCGGTGACTGGGTCCCGCTGCCCTGACCGGAAGGGCCACCTGTCCATGGTCCTCAGGAGCTGGAAGAACAAATTTCACGCATATGGAAACAGGAAGGGGCTCCCTGGCCTGGCTGAGGGGCTGGCCAACGTGCAGGGCATGGGTCCGCCATGACCTCACCATCCATCCCAGGGAGCAGCAGCCGCCCCGGCTGGAACCCACTCCGCTCCACGGCACCCCTGGGGCTGCGATGCCCGCGGCTGCAGTTTCCCACTCCCCGGGCCGCAGGTCTCCACAGCAGCCTTGTTTCACACTCCATAAGCTGACACCCCCCCGCTCCCTCCAGGGGCTCAAGGATGTCTGCGGGGTCTCGGGAGCTAGTCAGTCGGCCGACAGGTATTTACCGAGAACCTACAGCACAGAGGAGCCACAGCCACGTTAGGGACCTGCCTTCCCAGGGCCTCGGCTCGGACCAGACGGGAGCCAGGGGAGGGCAGCATCCACCCCAGGCCGTATGCACGGGGGCCAAGTAAGTGGTGCAGAGTTCAGGTGGCAGGGGGAGGGGGCAGCCCCTCAGGCACGTGCACGGGGCAGGTGGGGAATGAGACACTACCACTCCCCTCTGGACCGTTGTGGGACTTGGAAAGAAAGAAGGCCCGTGAAGAGGGTGACCAGGGCCGGGCGCCGGCCTCCGGGAGACAGGTCCCGAGCCGGGCGCCATGCTGCGGCCCCCAGGATGCAAGCCCGTCTCTGCTCTCGAGCTGCCCCCACTCCGGGGAGCGGACATGCGGCAGCGAGGGCCAGGCGGCCACACGCAGGCGGACAGCGGGAAGGCCGGGCACCGGCAGAGGCTGCCCAGGAGATGACTTCCTCTCTCATCTGCTCCACGAACCGGAATGGAGCTCCTAAAGCCGGGCCCTGCTCTAAGCACGGGGCAACGGTGGCAACGGCGCCGGCAGAGACCCGCCCTGGGGACGAGGGGACACACTAGCAAGCACACGGCAGGCTTCCAGGTGCTGCGAAGAGAAACCGTCAGGATGAGAGGGAGTGCGGGGGCAGGGGCAGGAAAGGCCCCTCGGGAAGGTGGCACTTGAGGAGGAACCCACAAGAGGGGAAGTAAATAAGCACGCAAATAAGCGGGGGAAGAATGTTCTAGAGGAAACAGCAGTGCAAAGCCCTGGGTGGGGGAAGCCTGGCCAGCCGGGGACCAGAGGTGACAGAGTGACAGTGGTGGGGGACCGGCGGGTGGGAGCTCGCAGGCATCGGGAACGAAAATGGTGGTGTTCTTGATGGGATGGGAAGCCCGGGAGCAGGACAGGGACGTGATCTGCGGTTTCAGCAGGTCACTCTGGCTGCTGTGTGGAGAATAGGGCATCGGAGGGCAAAGTGCGATGGGCGAGCCATCAGGACGCCACTGCCGTGACCAGGGGACCAGGCGGGGCTGGAGGGACCTCCAGCGGGAGGCTGTGCAGGAGTGCCGAGAGACATTCCAACTCGAGATGTATTTGGAAGGGCTTGCTCGGCTTCGACGCATGAGTAGGATTTTGATAAATGAGGAGACGGAAAGGCAGTCCAGACGGGGCATGCCGAAAGAAGCGGGGCTATTCCCGCGCGGCACTAAACCGGAGACAGCTCCCAGGGCTGCAGATGGAGCCGGCCGAGCGGAGCAGCTGCTGGGGCCCCACGCCGTGGACAGCCGCCCTCGCCCCGTGCCCTGCGGCAGCCCCGCTGGAACGGGGCCGAGTCCGCGGTGTGGGCACACCAGGCCCAGAGCGGCCCCCCACGCAACGGGGCATCCACCCAGCTCAGCCAGGGACTGGGTGCCACCCACACCCGCAGCCACCAGGTGGCGCCCCAAGCCGGGTCAGAGGTCTGGGTTTGCAGGGAGGCTCAGAGACATCCAACCTGTCACTGACTCTGCTCAATCCGGTCATTTTCTGTGCTGCCGGCTCTATTTTTCTTTCATTAATCACACCATGGAAATTCATGCTCTCCATGCTGAAGATTTATGGCTCTAAAAGCCCGACCCTGGAATGAAAAAGAGGAGACCCCGGGCTTCCCTGGTGGTGCAGTGGTTGAGGGTCCGCCTGCCGATGCAGGGGACACGGGTTCGTGCCCCGGTCCGGGAGGATCCCACATGCCGCGGAGCGGCTGGGCCCGTGAGCCATGGCCGCTGAGCCTGCACGTCCGGAGCCTGTGCTCCGCAACGGGAGAGGCCACAAGAGTGAGAGGCCCGCGTACCGCAAAAAGAAAAGAAAAAGAGGAGACCCTGCTGCTGCCAGGTCACTTGCTACAGGCTAGGTCGCTCGCTACAGGTAGGGAGCCTGGCCTTGGGACCCTGGAGCCGCAGGACGCCCTCCCACCCTGCGCTGGAGACACCAGGCCCCTCGGGACCATCCCTGGCCCGGGAAAGTCCTCAGGGTACTCGCACCACTTTATATAAGGGACCTTAGCATCCACGGATACCAAGGGCCGACTGTCCGGCTCCCTCCCAATAGCGGTTCCCACCAGGAGTGGGCCCGGGGGGGTCCCCTTGTGCCTCGTGGACAGGGGCCCCCACGTGGGAAACCCCAACAGCTCAGAACCTCCAGGAGCCAGTCACCTCGGTGACTTCAGGCCCCCCAACCTCTGACCTGCTGTGCCAGCTCCCCACAGCCCGCCGGGGAGGACGAGCTGCTCCCTACACCTCTGCTTCCCTCTCATTTCTTGTCTGAGGTCACCCTGCCCCGGGTAAGTCTCAGGTAAGGCCTGCTGCGGACAGCAGGGCAGCCTCCACCGGCAGCCTGGACCCAAGTCCCGCACCTTCCTCTCAGAGCCACACACGCGTCCCCGTCCCCAAAAGGCCACTGCTGAATGAATGAGGCCCTGCAGGCAACGAGAGGCTCTGCTCACCCCACATCCTCGGCCTCCTGCTGAGAGGGAGGGACCCTCTGCTCCCGTCTCTGACCCCAAACCAGCAGAGCCCCCAGACCCTAAGTTCACAGACTAGGACATCACACTGCCAGGCCCAGCCCGGGACCTGGCTGCCCGGCATTTGACACAGAGCCCCGGCGCCACCCCCACTGAGCCCCGACGGGTGAGAGGCGCCAGGCCGCTGCCTCAGCCCCAAGCCCAGGTCCCGGCCACGCACCCCTGCCTTCCTCTGGCCTCCGTTTTTCAGCCCAGCCTGCAAAGACCTGCCTGAATCCTTTCCCTAAAATGCCTCCTTCGTTACGCTGCTCCCGTGTGACCCTAAGGTTCTTTCCCTCTCTGCGGCCCAAAGCCCTTTAAGATGTGGCATCCGGACTAGAGAATCTCCCAGCCTGAGACACGCTGTTCTCACCCCGGTCCGGTGGTCCCACCAGAGCAACTTTACTCCCAGGGGACATCCGGCAATGTCGAGTCTTTTTTGTTGTCACAGCTTGGGGCGAGGGTGCTACTGGCACCTGAGTGGGCAGAGGCCAGGGACGCTGCTAACTGCCCTACAGGGCACAGGGCAGCCCTCACTCAACAAAGAGACATCTGGCCCCAAATGCCAATAGAGATTGAGAACCGCTGCCCTAGCCCCCTGCCCAAGCCAGGTGTCCACCCCCCAGCTACCAACTCACAGAGAAGACAGACACCCGAGGAAGAATTGGTGTGTCCCTCCAGCGTGGGGTGCGTCCTAGCTCTGAGAGGGACACGCACGGGAGGACAGTGCTGGTGAGGGCCGGAGAGGGGCTGATGTCTGCGGGGGGGCAATGGCAGCAGACAGGGTTTGTTGGGCGGGAGGGCAAGAGGACAGGAAGCCACCTCTGAAGCCACAGAAGGGGCAGGGAGGGCGAGGGAGGGATGGGAGGGACAGGGGGAAACCACCCCACACCGGGGCGGGCGGGGGCGCCCGGCACAGGAAGGAGGCGGGGCCTGCAGGGGCACAGCCAGAGCTCAGCGCTGGAGAGCTCAGCTGGTGGCATTCGGGGACACTGGCTTCCCAAAGCAGAGGGTTGTCTCAGACACAACCAGCTAGATTCAAGCCCCCCGGCAGGAAGAAACCCCGGGGCGAGGCGGGGTGACTCAAGCACCAGGACCCAGCCAACTGACCGACCCAAAGGCACCAGCCACCCTGCTGCGGTCCGGCACTCCTCTCTAAGCAGAGGCAGGCCCAGGGGCCACCCTGACCACCGAGCCTCCCTGCCCCTTGCCCCTCCCCCAACCAAGGGCACTTCCAAGTATTTTCCACTCGGGCTCCAAATGAACCCCCATCCAAAGGTGAGCAAACCCTTGGCATCTGTCCGTTCCCTGCTCTCTACAGGGACCAGGACCTGGTCTGTATTGTCCGTTACTAAATCCCCAGGGCCTAGAACAGCGCCTCCCCTTGGCAATGCCCATGGGTCTCCCTCCTCCAGGCTCTCTCTTCAGAAGGGAGAAGGTGCGGGACCCTTCAGGGTCTCAGCATCTTCCTCAACACCCTGGGCCCATCCAACAGATGCACAGCGTGCAGACTGAGGCCCGCAGGCTGTGGCCTCATTTATCAAGTCTGCTGTAATTAGCCAATACCCCATGGCCTTTCCCCGTCTTCAGCTGCAACCACACTGATCTGTGGTTTTAATGCATGCTCCTGCCATGTGTCCTTATGTATTTTT